CTCAAGGCTGAACATGCCCAGTTCTCCTAATCTCTCAACACAGGGCAGTGTTTCCAAACCCTGGATCATTTTTGTTGCCCTCCGCTGGACCCTTTCTAATTTCCCTGCATCTTTCTACATCTTGGTGCCCAGAACTGGACACAGTATTCCAGGTTATCCAACTGAAATGCAACCTTAAGATTTAATTGGAGGTATAAATTACCCCGCAAGGAGGTTGTTGTTTAGCCGCAAAGTTGTTCCTGACCCATCATGATTGGGAACAACTTTGGGCAACCCATCATGGACGACATTCCTCCAGGCTCTCCTGTCCTTCACCATCCCTCAGAGTCCACCCATACCCACTGCCCCAGTGACCCCATCCAGCCACCTCAAGGTGCTTGGCTTGAAAACGCTAGAAAGGGACAGGAACTCGCAGGAAGAAAAGGGAGGGACAGTCCTAGTACCTGCTCAGCGTGAAGTCCAGCTGGCTGACTTTGGGCCAGTCACTGCCTCTCAGCTGCATCTGCCTCGCAAGGTTGTTGTGAGGATAAGAATGAGAGGAGGAGGACTTTGGAAGACACTCCGGATTCCTTGCAGGAAGAAGAAAGATGAGATCTAAATCTCAGTCTCTCTGGTCCTCTGTAGGACATTATTACATAGGAAAATTTGAAAGCCTTGTTATCACTTGGAATATATGCAAGGAATATGCTCCAGTGATCCTGGACTTTAGGGGAATGGAATCATAGCTCCTGCTTTGAAAAAAGCTCAGCAGCTGGTGTCCCCTCCTCTCTGTCGGTGGCCCTCTATCTGGTTGTCCCTCTCTCCTCTCACCACCGGTCTGTGATTCCATTCAGGAAGTGCATGGGAGAATGTTACAAAACAGAACTCAGACTCACAGTGGCCGCTGCAAGTTCGACCCAGCCTCTATCAACAACCACCTTCTTCGGGATGTCAAGAGAGGCCACGCAGACGCCGATGTCACACCAATCGGTACACCTTTGTACAGACATCGGTACGCTCCTCTTTCTCAATTCGAATTTGTCCTCAGAGGTCTTTCTTAATAAATAAAACAAATGCTGTAAATATATTTGACAACTTCATTCACAATGCTCACACATGAGAAGTTCCAGAAACTGCTGTTGTAACACTAATTTTCTGATTGTTTACAAGGCTATAAATATTTCAGCTGTAACAATAGGAAATCAGTTTAAATACATGTGGGACCATTTCCCACAAACCAAGTCCGTGGGTTTGTCAGAAGGTTAACATGCTATCTTTCTTCCCATATTATGCTTTCAATTAACATTCCCCAGAAGGCAAAAAGAAAACCTTTAATGGTTTGCCAATTTGTAGGATTATTTTAGGAGGTACTTAATGAGATCAGACATGTAGAACTTTCTTTCTTGTGAGGTGAGACTGAAATGCTGAAACACTCTGCTTTCATTCTCGAAGAAAGTAGGAAAGTGGGCAGGGCTGACAGGGCTTGAATAGAGGTCATTCACACATTACACATGTCCTTCATCTGAGTTTAGAGAGTTTGAAGCTGAAGTAGAATGCCCAGTCTGCTGTTTCTACTCTTTTTTATTCTGGTAAGGCAGGTTAGGCTGAGAATTTGTGGCTGCACAGGGACCTGAACTCAGTCCAACAGCAATCACTCCAGTATAATAGTCTTAATACTGCCTTGTTAATGCATGAGACCTTTGCCATGGAATTCTGCAGAAGGTCTTCGGAGAGTTAGTGGGCGGGTTTGTATGGCATGCCAAGCCACAGTGGTTTCATGCAGGGGATGATCTGTTTTGTTGTCCACACATTTGGTTTATAGAAACCACGGTAAGAAACAATCAACGGTCTGTTCTACAGTTTCCACACTTCACCATGGTTTCTCTGATCGTCTGAACCCAGCATTGTGGTTTTCACAGTCCTGGTATGCAGCTACCACAGAGTCCCCTGGAAAGAGTGGCAGCTGTTATGGGAGCTCTTCCCTCCATCCACCATGGTAATAAATTCCAGGCTTGGTTGCTGATGCCATGCGCCAACACTGGGCGGACTGTGAAAAGAGAATGGAAACCATGCTAGGATTGAAACTGCTCAATTGTTTGTCAGGCACATCCAGGCAAAAAAAAAAAAAAAAAACCCAACCCGAAACCTGCACTGTGGAAACCACACAGGGTTGCTTGTCATGAAATGCGAACCCAGTCACCTTCAGGGACCAGAACATTGACTTGTCTTACACAATTGCTGTAAGAGTAATTGAGAAAATAGATGTGAAGTAGTCACTCAAAAGGCAGACAGTCGTGAAGGGCAGACGTTTGTTCATTGTTTATTCGATTTGTAATCCATCCAAAACCTCCTTTGAAAATAGCTGAAATAACAAACCTTGGTGAGCAACCCACAGTTTATAATCCAGCCACAAACCATGGTTTCTCTTTGTAGGTTATTTGTGGTTAATAAGCCATGGATTGTTGCTGCAGCTGGTGTCAGATCATATAAACCCGTGTTTCAAGTACAACCCAGTGTCAACCCCATACTCAACCCCATATGGGCTATCCTTGTGTCTCAACCCAGTAAGTGATGTGTTTACAAAAGTTGCTGGTTTATCTTAGATAAAAATCAAAGACACCAGCTTCTTATGATGACATTCTGAGACTGCTAACAAAGGTAGGGGCTGGAACTCACTCTGCTCTGAGAAGATCTGTCAGGGAACCATTTTGTGCACAGTTCGACAGAAAAAATGGCCTATATCTCCAAGAACTGGGGGGACTTTAGCCTTATTTTTCTGTAAACAGGGATAGGATCTCACATTTGGTAAAATACATTCTAACTGCATCCCTTTGGCATATTTAGATGGGAAATTATGAGAACTTCTGCTGAAATGTCCATTTTTGTACATATGCTCATAATCAAGCCTGAACTTGATTAAGATGGAGGACGAGATGTAAGCTGCCTTGAGCCCTTTGTAGGAAAAAGGCAGGATATAAATAGAAAAATAAAATAAATAAAACTGCTGCATTGTCCTCTAATAAAGACATTAGAAAGAGATTTTTATATATTTATATGCTTGCTATATTTATTTCTCACCCCTTTTCCTTCCAAGAAGTGCAAGATGACTTACATAATTGGTTTCCACCTCCTCCCAATCTTATCTTCACAACAACCCTGTGAGGTAAGTTGGGCTGGGAACACTGCGATTGTCCAAAAGTCAACAAGTGAGTTCCACTGCTGAGCAGGGACTAGACACCAGATCTCCTGAGTCCCAGTCCTTCCTCCTTAACCACTACACCACACTGGCTCTCCAGTGTAACCCCACACACACACACACACACACACACACACACACACAAGTTATTTGTAAATGTGTTAGTAGTTAGTCAATTTATTTCCTTCTGAAAGGCATAGAAATGCTAGGATTTCTCACTTATGGGCAGCAGCATGTTGGAGATGAAACTGATGAAAGTCAGCCCCAGACCCAAATATTTTGGTGCTCAGGATAGCAGAGTGGGACCTCCCCACAATTCTACCAAGCTATTTTGGCACCTGAGGCAGAGAATCTTCTACTGTCTCTGGCAATAAAATACAATAGTCATTAATTAAGTTTCAAAAATTGCTGCCCTTTAATGACACTTAAAATTAGTTGCCTAAGGCTGGAACTGGCTCAGTCTCCCAGAATGGGAGGATTCATCCCTTGGGGGACAGCTGCTGAAGGTGGAATGAGTTCAGATGCAGGTCAAAGGAAAGAAAATTGCTTGAGAAAATTGCTTTCTCTCATTCTGACCCCAAAGTGGGGAACCTGAGGCCCTGCAGATGTTGGACAGCAGCTCTTGCCAGCCAACATGGCCAGTAGCCAGGGATGATGGGCGTTGCAACCAAAGAACAGGGCCAATAGTTGTACACTCTGGTATCTAGCTTACCCTATGCCCCCTGGATGTTTTGGGCTAGAGTTCCCATAATCCTTGGCCGAGGGCATCAGGTTGAGAAAGTTGGATGTACTCCAACCCATCTAAAATACAGGGACTTTTTGGTGATGGTCCCCTCAACTATGGAACACTCCCCCAGTGAAGGCTTTCTGGTGCCAACGTTGTCACCTGTCTTGTGCCTGGTGAAGACTTCCTTATAGACAGACACCTGATAGCATCTGATAATGTTTTTATGTTTTTAACGGGTTCTGGGCCTGTTATTGCTGACCATGCAAAATCGTTCTATATTCCTGCATGCGGATTGTTTTATATTACATTATGACTTTGCATATTTGGGTTTGTAAACCGCTGAGAGCCCTTTGGCGATTGGACAGCGATCAAGGGAAGCATCGGCTGCGTTCGGTAGGTGAAGCTGCTTGCCATTCAAAGAGAGCAAATCTGGAAGATCTGGCAAGGGGTATTAAGAGCACCATCCAAGGCTGAGCCAGAAAAACGGACCTGGAACCGCTCAGCATGCTGGGAGTTGTAGTCCTTTCTTCCGTCCAAAGTTGCAAAGAATTGCGTCTTAGGTGGGAACTGCACGTGGTTCAGCAGGCTGCAGGCAGTCAGGTCAGGAAGAATAGCAGGCTGTGGGGTGTTGCTTCCCCTTCTTGGTACATGCCAGCACCTTCTCTTTTCATAAAAGGAGGCTTTTGCCATTTTCATCTAGTCTTTACCCAGTTTTAATTAGAGAAATAAGTCTGGACTTTCTATATTTCTACTTTTCAAGTTCCACTTTTCAAGCTCTATTTTTAAAAGTTCCTGTTTTCACACTATTTTATATTTATACCGCAATAAAGTTCTACCAATAAGCCTGGCCCGCCGATATTTACGGTTTCTACCTGCATGCCCCTGGAAGAAAAGGTACCTCTCTAGCTCGTTTGCCTGCTTGAAGTAGGAACCTTTGAGCTCCGAGCATGTTCCACGCGGGACAGGTAATGTGGAGACACCGGGGGAACGAAGCCGAGCTGCACGCGGATCGAGCATGGAAGCGCCCGGGAGCCGCTCCGGGCACGGGGCGGCGGCGGCTGGTGACGCTTCGCGGCCGGGGGGCTCCGGCCAGCCTGGGCCGGAGGAGGAAGCCCCAAAGCCCGGGGAATGGGCGCTTCGCGGGGACTGGCTGGCCGCCCATCCCACGGTTAGTAATCCGGGACTGGGGAAAGGGCTTCTTGCCATTCCTGGCAGAGGTTTTGCAGAAAAACCGGTGCAAAGTGAACACCCGCTGCTGCTCTATTTTGTTGATGCGCGTGTGTGTGTGTGTGTGTGTGGGGGGGGTGTTTTTCTTGCGAGGGGGCAGCTTCTTCTGCCCTTAGCCACATTTCCAGCCAAGAGACAGAAATCGATGCTTTGATGCCTGCGATGCCAAAATTAATTTGCTACTTGTTTGCATTTTTTTTCCTCTTTCCTTTTTCCAGACAATGGCTAAGGGGGTAGATTTGGCTTCTGTGGAGACAGGACTGACCTGGAGCTGTCCCAGCTCAGGTTTGTAACTTGTGAAGCGATAATAATATGTATAACTTCTTAAAACACATAAAAGGAGATCCTATTTAATATGAAAATAGCACAAAATGTTCGGGATGTAAATATCTCAAGTAGATGGCTAAGTAACAATCCTGACTTTGGTTGCTACTTAATGTCAAGTCATCTCTGATTTATGCTGGTCCTATGCATGTGGGCCGTCCAAAATATTCTATTTATTACAGGCCTTTTCATGATGTGTCCAAAGTTTGGCAGCCTCAGTTTTGTCATTTTTGCTTCCAGGCCCAGTTCTGGCTTGATTTGATCCAGGATCCATTTGCTCGTCTTTCTGTCCACTTTCTGCCTTTGCAAAGCTCTCCTCCAGAGCCATGTTTCAAATGCATCACTTTGTTCCTGCCAGCTTTCTTCATTGTCCAGCTTGCACACCCCTGCATAGGATTGTGCAAATGACTCCTTAGATTCAGCAGGTGTTGAGTATTTAAGTGGGTGTTGAATATGAAAGTACCCAGTCCACTGGGAGCCTGTAAAGTATCTGAAAGCTCCACGTTCATCTCAGATATGTGTAAGAAATTGCAATGCTATAACTTTTTAAAAAACAACTTCTTTTGGCATAGGTATGTGCAGGTTTTAAGAACTCTTGACAATAGTTCTCTGTCTGAGCTGGTTGGGTCGCATAGTTTTGTCAGGATGCAAAACTCCACGATCTGATGTGCTTTTTACTGTTATAACCCTCTTAGGAATTTGGCATGTTGAAAGAGAGCTTGTTTTGCAGGTTGTATAACACAATTAATCTGAGGTCTGGGAAGGTATTAGTTTGTTCAAGCCTATAAAATGCTAACTTTACAATGCAGATCTTTAGCTTTTTGGCTTTTAATTCTTAATATACAGGAGACTCTGAGCTCTATAAATGGATTGAAACATTTCAATGGGTTGAACCTTTCTGTAAGTTCCTAACAGTACAGTGGTTTATATTTACATTGGACACTTTCCTACAGGCATCCCAGGACAGCTAATAACCGTACGAAAGAACATTGTCAAAAGTATAACTCTGAAATTATAAATACGCAATGAAATAGTATAAAAACATTGGAAAACAGATGAACACTTGCTTACACTTGTAAGCTTGTACATATAAATACATCCGTCACTGGTACCTGAATGACAATGGTCTGAATATCAACTAGAAAGGAATATTAGAGTTGGGGTGCTACCATCAAGAAGGCTCTGCTCCACATACTTTTTCCATGGGTCATATTCTTTGAGGTTCCAAGTAGCAAAGCATCCATGACCATTTTTAATTCCTGGGCTAATTTGAAAGGTGACTAGATATTTGCCAAGCATTAGCAGTGTGTGTCAGGTATACAGGGAACTAAACTGGGAAACTCATGAATGAAGGCTAGGTCTTACTCTGGCAGTCTACCTTGGCTTGTGTATTCAGGTGGAATTGGTGATGTAGTGTTGTCCTCTGATCAGCAGGCATTGGGGAGCACAGGGTCAAAAGACTGTAAAATCTGGTCCAAAACATCTAGAGGGAACCAAGCTGGGGAAAGTTGCTCTGGATTATCTGATCACAAATACTCAGAAGCTGGGCTTTTCTCTTTTGACTGCTGCTCTTTTGGCTCCAGCTGAGTTCTAGCTCAAATCCCATGTTTCAGAAGGAGCCCCGAGCCAAACCGTCTCCTATTTGGATTTATGTACAGTTTCTCACAGCGTCACCTTTACTGGGAAACACTGATGTAATGCAGTACAGTGGTACCTCGGTTCACGAATTTAATTCGTTCCATAGTTCCGGTCGTGAACTGAATTGGTCACAAACCGAATCAAATTTGCCCATAAGGTTCAATGTAAAATAAGGTTAATCCATTCTGAACCATATGTAAAATTTTTTACCACAAAAATATGAAACAAAGTACAGTACAGTATGAAGAGAGAGAACACTAACCTTGCTTGAGGAGACTTCTGGCATGGAGGACAGGAAGGTGGGTGGGAAAGGTTATTGTTTGGAGGGAGAGTCTGCGACCACAATCTCGACTAGAGGAAGCCATGACCACGTGTCAGAGCGGGGAAGATGGGTGCGATCGTGTTCGTGCGAACATGAACATGGCCATCTCTCCCACATGAACATACTCTGACATGTGGTCACGGTGTGGGGAAGATGGCCGCGATCGTGTTCATCACCCAATGCAAAGTTCATGAACGGAAGCGAAATTTTGCCAAACTTTCTGTTTGTGAACCGAATTGTTCGCGAACAAAAGTGTTTGTGAACTGAGTATTACTGCACTTTCCCGGAAACTTAAGGCCAAGTGAGACCTGCTTTTATGAACAACTGGCCTTACTAAATATTTTCCGTCCTCCCAGACTCTGAACTTTTGAAGGACAGGGTTTTTTTGGCATTTTGAAAACATGTTTTGCTACTCTTATAGCAGATTTGATCTAGCAGTAAATCCTTTAACAGGCCTTTTCCTCCTGCTGCCCTTTTCTGGAAAGAATTTGTTTTTGTCGCACTTGCTGGGGGTTTCTGCCAACACTTCCAAAAATTGTGCATTCAGTTCTGTTTGGGTTTAGTTGCATGGAATTTGATCTCCCCAGTCTCTGTCCCAGTAGAGTTTACACTCATTGCTTCCTTTTGTGTGTTTCAGTTCACCAAGATGATGTCATTGGATGTGGCTGACAGCACAAGTGTGTACACCGCATTCTTAGTTTACTTAGACCTCTTAGAAGGTAAGTTTGTGGAGTTACTTTCAAGGACAGGCAGTGAAATAATATTTAAAAAAAATCAAACTGTTATGGCATATGTTCTAGTTTAATGCAAATGCTAAGAATTCCTTTCTGGTGAGGTATGAAATCATCACACATTTGCAGGCATCACTTCAATGTGCAGATATGGATCAGGCGAACCTGTAAACCCAGTGATTTTTAAACTTTTAAAAATCCTGCATTCTGGAAAATATTAGGGTTACTTTTAGTAATTCTCTCTCAAAATAGCCTGCTTTTAATCTTGCAAGATTAAAAGCAGTTAACCATTGGAGAAAGGTGCAAAGGAAATTAGGAGACCCCCCGCCCGCAAGGACCTCCCAAGCGCAAGCCACGCACGAGAATACGTGGTGGTGACTGGAACAGCCTTTCCTGGCCTGGTGCCCTCCTTTTTATTCAAGCGGCGTTTTAACTGTTAATATTATTGGATTTTATCTGGCCAGGGCGGCTTATTTTATACTGTATTTTTGTATTTTTAATTTAATGTTTATATTTTTGATTGATATTATAATTATTTTAACTTATTGTTGTAAGCCGCCCCGAGGCTTCGGCGAATGGGGCGGCATAAAAATGCTTTAATAAATAAACAAACAAACTGCTATGTAGGACGACCCCAGATCACTGGCTGTGTTGGCTGCACCTGGCGGGAGCTGGAGTCCACAAGATCTGGGAGGCACATGGGTCACTGCCTTTGGTTCTTCTAGATCAACAGAGGCATTACTACCACTCTATACGACTCTGGTGCACCCGCAACTGGAGTATTGTGCTCAGTTTTGGGCCCCTCATTACAGAAAGGATACAGCCAGCTTGGAGTCAGTGCAGTGTAGGGTCACAAGGTTGGTGGCTGGTTTGCAGGGGATGGGGTATGAGGCGAGGCTGAGGGAACTGGGTCTCTTCAGCCTGGAGAAGAGGAGACTCAGAGGGGATCTGTTGGCGACATGCAGGTATGTGAGGGGGTGTCACACGGAGATGGGCAGAGACCTGTTCTCCCCTGCAGAGGAAGGCAGGACGCACTCCAGTGGAGCAAAGCTCAGGGAACCAAGGCTCCATTTAGATGCCAGGAAGCACTTCCTGACAGTCAGGACCCCGAGGGTGTGGAATGGGCTTCCACAGGATGTCCTTGAGGTGGAGGTGTTCAAAGATAGGCTGGGCATGTACATGGTGGGCATGTCGTGAGCGGAGCTGGCTAGTGCCGCAGGTCAGACTAGATGACCCGGGAGGTCCCTCCTGACTCACTCTGTTTCTATGTTTCTTCCAGGGGCAAGTGGAAATACTCAGTTCTGCAACAGGACGTGTTTGTTTGTTTGTTTGTTTAAGGCTTTTATATACTGCCCTTCGCTAAAAGTCCCAGGATGTTAATACAGTGAAATAAATCGGACAGCCCTCTGAGTGGGATGGCGTGACGTGGTGTCCTGCAACAGCAGGGGGTGGACTGGATGGCCTTCTTGGCCCCTTCTCACTCTACTATTCTATGATTCTATCATTCTATGAAAGTACAGCATCAAGTACAGGTTGGCAGAGTTCATGTAAGGGAGTTCTGCTGACTGCCCTATTCCAGAAATAGGCATTTCTACTTGTTTCAGGACTTATCCCTCTAACTGCTAACTCTCTCTTGTGCCAGTATTCAGCTCTGCTGGCACAAAGGTATCGGTGTGGTGGGGACTGGCTTGGCCCCAGTTACAGGTAACTGGATACTGCCTCAGGTGAGGGAAATCAGACCTAGAGAGCTGTGTAAAAATGGAGCTCCAAAATGGAAGACGTAATGATTTTTATATTTGTTCAGGCTCACTGCTTTTGGCTTGCTTGTTTTCTTACTGTCTCTGCTATTCCTTTCAGTTAGAAACTGGCATGAGGTTTCTTACTTTGGGCTACCAGAATTCCAGCTTGTGGGTCTTTGTGGGCGAGAGAGAGAGGCTGAGGATGCCCAGGCGGTTTTGCCCACTCCTGCCCACGTGCCGTTCAGCCACGAGAGGTAAGTGAGCCTCCGCAAAGGGATTGCTTTGGTGCATGTAGCCAGACTGAAGGGAGAATGGCGATGCTTAAGGATGCTGGAGTGCTTCCATTTTGCTTAGCAACGCCTGGCAGAACCCCAGGGCAGCCTTCTTCAGCCCGCTTCTTCCAGATGTGTTTTAGGCCAACACAGCTGGAAGGTAGCAGCCTGGGGAAGGCTGCCTTGACACGTACCTCTGTTTGGAAAGTTTATCTGGTTCTCAGTATGGCAGCGGAGTTATTAGCCAGGATTGGCTGAATGGACCATTCCAGGCCTTCCTTCCTTACTGGTTGCCATTTTGTTTCTGAGCTCAGTTCCAATAGCTGGTGTTGACCACAAAGCCCTAAGTGTCCTGGGACCTGGATAGCAGGAGACCTGTCCCATTGATGAAGACCCTCATTGGAAGCTCTCCTTCAAAGACTTGGTACATGGCAGTAGAGAAGGAAGTCTTTACTGTGATGGGACCCTATTTGTGGAATGTTTTGCATATAGAAATCTGCCTTGCACTACCTCTGTTGTCTTTTAAGGTGCAAATTAAAAAGCGATCTCCTTAACCTTTGACGATTGAAGCATGTTCTCCCTTATCTTCTCCCTTATCCTTCCAGGTTGTATCACAGCATGTTATTTTAGGATTTTATTATAGCTTCTTATCTCTTCCTCTAAGCCACCTTGGAGGCAGAAGGCTCAAGAGCTAATCTGTTGAAGAAATCAGTACCCAAGAGACCGGCTGATAGAGATTTCCACTTGGACCTTTAATATTTATTTATTGCATTTATTGCATTTGCATTTATATTATATTTGCATTTATATGTATCTTCAGGAGAAGAGCACATACGTGCTTTCCCATCAGCCATTTAGGATTCCCTGTTGGTGAATATGGGAACTGCTTCACTCTCTGTGAAAGATCAGTTCACATATTGTATTTGCCCCTGTGAGCATGCGTCCAAATGTGGTGTGGATTCTCCCACGGACAGAGGGGTGAATTGCACAGTGCTTAGACAAAAAAGTACCCCTTGCTCAGTTTAAATGCACTGCACCCCACCTGCAGGTTTGATCTCTTTCCCACTGTTCTCACTGGGGGGAGAATGCAATTCTCCGTGTTTGAGGGGTGGCATAAGTCCTTTGCAAGCATGCTGCAGCAATGAAACGGGGCCTTGTCACGGGCTGGGTGCAGTCTTCCCCGAGCTGATGTTCTCCAGATGCATTGGGCTGTGAGTTCCATCCCCTGGCCGGGGTTATTGAGAGTTTTGTCTGAAGACATCTGGACGGTGCCTGGCTGGGCAAGGCTGAATGAAAGAAAAGAGGGATGATTCAGTGGCCAGGCAGTCCTAGCGAGGAAAAACAACACCAAGACAAGAACAATTTGGCATTCTGGAAGCGTCCACAGGAAGGCTGTTCCATAAATATCCTCGAGACTGGAGTTTGCAGACCAGACCTGCCAATGGGAGATTTTTCTGAAGCATTTCTCAGCTCAGCCTGAATCCCCAGTTTCTGTGTTGAAAAGTGGAACAAAGGTTCATAATCACCTTCACGAATGGATAGCACATGTCTAGCTTCAGATACCCTTTTTCTGAGCCGAGTGGAAATAAAAATTGCAAAAGCAATGACATCTTGTTTTGGCTGTAACCATGTCATATTAGCTCATCTCTTCAGCTGCCCAGTAGCTATTTATCTGCAAAAACCTTTGAAATACTCATAGTACTAAATCAGGGTCTTCTAGGCAAACTTTACCATTGGCCTTTAACAAACATCCTTAACCCTTCCTGGATGAGTGTTTTGAGCCCAAAATAGTCATTTTACCACATACGCTTTTTACTTCTCTGTAAAGAAAGAGGTTTTCTGGAGTAGAATTTTCCTGTGTTGTCATCCTGTTGGAATGCCTTTGGACATGCAGAAGTGGTTGTGCATAGCATTGCACTGTGAGCGCATACAGCGGATGCACCAATGTAGCCCAGAACCTTTTCCTCGGTCTCTGCTTCCTTGGTCTCTACAGCTCTTCTTCCAGTCGGGATTGCTTCAAAGGGAAGTGGGAGCGTTCAGCTGCTGCCATCTTGTTTTCCCAGGAGTTCCTCCGGCATGGTTACACAATGACAGCCCTTTTGTGGCTGTACTCACAACGGTTTCTCAAATTCCCACGTGTGGTCCTGGAACCCTGATCTAAAGTTACCTAGCAGTGGTGTAGTGTACTTTTGAGCTTGTCGGTGTGGTCTTCAGATGTCCAAAGGTATAATCATCAGGAAATGTGCAGCATATGGAGAGAGTCCCTGTCTCTTTCTGCTACTGGAATTTCAAGAATTGGTCCCCAACCGGTGCCTTTGAAGTAGAAAATCTTCCTGGGCAATGTGCATAAGGGTATCAACTGTCAGTATCCTCATTCATGGCAGATGTGTTAGACAGTGGCTTCAGTGTCATGACAAAGAGCATCACAGTTGGATTCCTCTTTCCTTTCACAAATAACTTTGTAGAAGCAGAGCCTATCGGGAATCCTGACTGTCGGCCCCACCATGACCCCTTGGCAGCGTGGGCTTCCTTAATTGCAGAGATGGCTTCCTTCATTGGGTATTCTCCAAATCAGCCTTTCCCAAGCCTGTGCGTTCCAGACAGGCTTGGCCTGCAGGACCCAGAATTCCAAGTCAATGGCCCTGTTGAATGGGGATTCTGGGAGTTGTGGTCCTGATGCCTCTGAAGGCCACCAGTTGGAGAAGGTTGCTCTAAATCATATCCAGCACAGAATGCCCACATGGCAGCCAACTGGGGCACTTGTGCTTTGAGACTGGTAGTGTAGTATTGACCGTAGCTCCTTGCAGTTTTGAGTTGCTCTCACTTCAGAAGACAAACTGGCTTCCTGGTACCTACCTGCCACCTGTCAGTTCTTTCCCTTGCGCTTTGCTCCGCCCGTTCACAATAGCTGCATGGGAATGCAGAAGGAGTTGTCAGTTGTCGATTCCTAACTGTATGGAGGCAGGTGGCTTATATGGCTGGCAGTTCATTTCCCATCCACCCCATGGAGGTTGGTGGAAAAGCAGAGAGGCCAAAGCGCAAGGGAGTCTGAATTGCTTCCTGTTTTCTTGGCAGCCTTGGAAAAAGCAGCTGTACGGAGCTGGCTGAGGAGGAGGAGAACAAATGCCAGCAGAAGGCTCTGTGGGGTCATTATCCTTCCAGCTGAAGTTCTCTTCATTTCAGTGGAGCTACCTAAAGTAGGACTATCATGAGAGAGCCTCTGTGGCCTCAAGCTCCAAGGAATGGAGGTGGAGTGACCTCTGCTCTCTTCCACTGCCACCATTTTGCTTGTTGCCTTGGGGGAATTTGTACAGTAAGGGAAGGCTCAACGTTGTCTCTCATTCCTTATCTTCTTGGTGGACAACCAGAAGGAATAATGCCGTTTCCTAGGGATTGGTGAGCCCCTAGTTCATTACCCATCCAGAATCTTGCTGGCCACTTGAACTGCGTAGCGATTCCTTTGGTTTGTTCTCGTCATCTTCTCCAGAATTTAATGCAGGCAGTTCGAACCATTCTTGGTGCTTAGTGAAGAAGCTGAGGTCATATTTTCCTCTCCGTTTACCCTGGCTGGACAGCTGCATAGCAAGGGCTGTCCTTTGGCTTGAGAGTGTACCAGTTGATGGCTCGTGCATCAAATGCCTCCTGATGGGCAGCATAGAAGAGAAGTTGGGATGTCATTGGAAGGGCCCTTTTAGCTGCTTTCTGTCACCCTTTCGAATCATTCAGCACTCAAGTACGGCATGGAGTCTCCAGCCATGTGGAATATTGATGGCGGCACTGAAAGGTGATAATGGCCCAAAGGGGAACAAGGGGAGGAAGCCTTCAGAAAGTGAGGGCACTTTACAATGTAGGACACGTCACAAGATGTTTTGAGTAGCAAGGGCTCTTCCTCAAAGAAGAGCAAGGGTGATTTTAAAATTAATTTTACAGATATTTAATTATAATTTTGTAATATAATTCCTAACTATTCTTTTTATCACGGTATGATCTCAGATTTTGCCCTGGTTTATTTGACCATTTCTCCCAGGTTTCTTATTGGTTTATTTGTTGGTATTGCATGTTCATTTATTTTGCATGTTTTTTTTGGGAAAAGGATTGGCTGTTTATTTTATAGGTAGATTCAGTTTTGTATACATTTTAAACAAATGAATTTTTGCTTCTAGTTATTCCTAATAAATAATAAGAATAAGAATATGCATCCTTACAAATGGTTGGCTTGATATATCTGAAATATTGTAAATCCACTCATAAATTTTATATTTCAGTTTAACTTTAACTACCTCTTTTTCATTTAAATATTTCCATTTGCTCTTGATATATCGTAAACATTTCAAGATAGACCTTAAATATTTAAAACATGCCTTGTCTATTTTAAGATTGCAAAGGTGGGCCAGAGAAAGCCCCTTCCCTGCCCCCAGCATCACTAAGGAGGGGCCATCGCCAGCTGGCCCCTGTCCTGCATCCAGGCACTGGATAGCCATTCAGGCACACCCTTTGTGCTACGAACCGGTATAATAAAATATAGGGAAGGGGAGAGGGAATCACAGAAGGAAGTGGGGAAAGGCAGAGAGAGAGCATCCAGCTGGTACGGCGCACCCAAACTCCAGTGCCCCCGCACCTGCAAACTCTGCAAACTCTCTGGAGCAGCACCGGAGGGACAGAAGGTCTTCCTCAGAGCCGGGTTTTTGATGTCAGCTGTCAGTCTAATGGGGCAGCCTTCCAGCTGTGGGCAGGCACACCAGGATCATCCAGGGCTGGCAGCCCCCACCCCGCCCCCCGGGTCTGCCTGACAGAAGAGCATAAGGTTCAGACTTCCTCCCTAGACTTGGCAGTAAAAATGCTGCGGTCGTTTGGTGGAGGCAATTGAAATTCCTTCCTGTTAGGGTCTGATCTGAGCCCTTTCCAGGCATCCATCACAAAGCTGTGCTTCCAATATTTCAAATGCATTTAACTTTTGCATTTGTTCTTTCCCTGATCACACGCCCTCCCTGCGCAAATCATCGCTGCCTGGAATGCAGACCCTCGCACCTTCTGTGGGTTGCCGACACTAGCTTGCCTGAAAGTCTTTGGGATGGGCCATGAGTCCCATCGAAGGGCTGGATAGCCAAGCTGCTGTGCACGTCCCATTAATTTTAGCCAAGAGAGGAACTGTGTAGGAGACACACTGTTTGAGAATTTGCTGATCTGTGCAGCATTGAAAATGCATGGTTTAAACTACTAGTGATGAAACCTACACAAAGGTTTTCCTTCTCCGCAGCGCAACTGAAACATATATTTTATACAGAGTTAGGATGGGAGCTGCAATGTTCTTGGAAGCGATATGAGTCTTCTGGAGCATGGCCTTTGCCGTATCTCCTTTGACTTTTCCTTGCCTTCCACAGCCCCTATGTTCTTTTAACCCTCTGTCAATAGTTTGGTCAGTGTATATGCCATCCAAAAACTGCAAACTATGGTTAGTTATTTAACTTGTATCGTTCCCAATCACTGAAGTGGTCTAGGTGGATTACAATAGTGATTAAACAGGACTGTGATGCAATAAAAACATTGGAAAATCAATAGCATAGATTTTAAAGCCATTTAAATGTTCGAAACAATTTAACCATGAAAATAGTATTTCCTACAAAACAGAACTGTTAAAATAGGCACCATCGGCCATTGGATATCTTTGAAAGGCAGCTGAGGAATGTCTTAACCTGGTTCCGAAAGGCTGATTGTTGGTGGCAGATGGACCTCAGTGGGGAGATAATTCCACAGCTTGGGGGCCATCACCAAGCCCCTGTTCCTGCCCTCCAAGCTTCCAGTGGCACTTGGAGGAAGCCTTCTGAAGTGGACAGGAGTGTGCAGGTCGGTTGCACCTGGAAGCGATGCTCCATCTCCTGAGCCAGGGGTCGGCAACCCGCGGCTCTGGAGCCCCACATGGCTCTTGCACCCCTCTGCTGCGGCTCCGTCGCTCAAAACACGCGCCGGCACAGCCGCAGATCTCAAAGCTCCACTCAGGAAGGCAGCGCTAGCTAGTTAAGTCAATCAGCTAGTTAAGTAAATCGCTACATTCCTCTGCTAAACAAGCTTCCTGCAGGCTCTCATGTTACACGAAACAAGCTGCTGAAAAGATTCTCTCTTTCCCAATGTAATCTCCTTCTTCTGAATGTTAAAAGCTGTGCTTGGGACCTGTCACAATTCACAGCACCTGACTGTTTATCTGCTAATCAGTCACTAAACACACCTATATCTCCGGCACAGCCCCGATCTGTGGACCCACACTGATTTACTGAGCGCCCCCCGCCCCACCCCAGGCCAACCATGGATAAATCAAAGAAAAGAAAAGTTTCTGAAGAAAACCAAATGTTTTAATGATACGTGGGCAGATTCATTTGCTTTTACTGCTGACGAACTTATGGAGTTTGCTGTTTAATGCATGCAGCCCTTTAGCACTGACTTTGACTCTGCAGGAAGCTGTTCTCCTATTCAAAATATATGAAAGGAGTCCTACTAGTTTATAATGTAAGATTAAAAATAACAGTTTTTAGCAACTGAACAAGAGCTGCAGCTAAATCATAATGAAGATATACATAGCATTAAGGTAAAAAATGATATATGCAGTGTTATCTTCATTTTAGATGTCAAAAGGGGTTTGTGGCTCCCGGTGTTTTCTTTTGTGTGGGAAACGGGTCCAAATGGCTCTTTGAGTGTTAAAGGTTGCCAACCCCTGTCCTAAGCCATGCATGGCTAAAAAAATTCGGCAGTGTTGTATTTTCCAAGCACTTTATGGGTGCAACCCTGACGTGTGTAAGAGGAAGGAAGAGGCTGAGGTTGAGAAACTAACAACAGGATTCCAGACAAAACTGAACAGAAATGGGGAGCATCTTTCAGTCGGCAGGCTGATTTGCATTTCAGAGAAAGTTTTGGGGGCCCATTCCAGAGGTGGCCTGGGGAAAAGGCAAAAGAAGCGAGGGCCAGATTACAGAGAATACCAGCGTTCTGCAAGAGGGCCAAACATTCCGGGGTATTTAGCTTAAACGTGTTCTGCCACTAACGAAGCATTTGTGGTCCGTGCAACTTTTTCAAATGTGAAGAAGGGGGCATGAGGGCCAAGGAGCCACCAAACAACGTGGAAATGAATAGGCGAGACGGCTGATCGTGTTTTCTTTCTTTTCTTTCAGGTTGAGACAGATCATGAAGGGAGTGTATGCATTACCAGACCTATCTCTTTCCCCTCCTTGTTCCATCATACTAGCGATAGTTGAATCGGATTCTACCATAGTTTATTATAAACTGACGGATGGTTTTGTAATGCCCGATCCCCCTGAGGATGGTGAAGCTGCGGACAATAAACAATGGAGGAAGAAAAGAAAGAGATGATGGACAGAAGTATTCAGATCCAAACAAATCTGAAATTACAAGGTTCAACTGGGAGTTGGAACATCTGTTTCAAAAATCCTCACTAACATTTGGAAATTGGCAGGATATCGACTGCATATAGCCTGTAATACACCAGGACAGCATGGGCCAGTTCAAGAATCCATCCCTTCCTCACCCAGTTGCTCAAGCCTAGGGACTGGGTTAGCAGAGGTGAATTTTTGGAATGAAAGAAAAACCTGCCCTTTTTTCCACACTCAGTAATTGTCCCTTGGGTACCAGAGAGTTCTTAATTTTACAGTGTCGACTCTTTCCAGTGAATTCCTTTGTGTTACAATAAAATGCAGCACCTGTGATATTAAAGCGTTCTCTGTGGATGAAAGTGATGCTCGTTCCCGGCATTAGAACCCCACCTACCCTTTCAATCCAGATGTGCTGCAGCTGGAAAAGATGACTTCACTTGTCATCACACAGCTCTGGGCAAAGTTCCGGCCTCGTCTGGTAGACTGGGAATGAGTGTAACCATTGGAATAATGAATACTTTTTATGTAGCTCATGGTAAATGTTTGAAGCACATTGAATGTATTATTTCACTGTTTCCTCTGACAACCCTGTAAGGTAGGCCCATTGAAGTATCTCCACATTGCAGTCCAGGGATAAATGGCGGTACCTTGCTTGCAGTCATCTCCTGTCGGTTCCTTAATTAAACACAATTTCCCTCACACTGGCAGATGTTTCAAGAGCCCTCCATTAGTGCTGATGGAATTAGCTCAGTAATCAGAAGATTCCCAGATCTAGAAGTACCTACTTGAGTGAGTCCTTACAAGCAGGATGGTATCGCTTGTCCTTGAGCACCTCTCTTGATCCTGATCTGCTGCCTGATTGTAACATGCTAGCTTTTGACTTGTGGTCCACCAACATTAGTTATTTAGACCCAAGGGGCTCTTCAGACCCCCGTTTCCTTGCGGGACAGTAGTAGCTGCTCTAGAGGTCTCCCTTCAAGACACAGGCAGTTTCCCCCTGCGGACTTGATTGTTCCAGTCCCGCATGCCCTAACTCCATAAGCAGCAGACTTCGAGGCTGCTCACGCTGGCCTGAGTGGGTTGTAGAAACAGCTCTTTACCCGCGCCTGCATTTGCATGGAAGGAAGTGTTAAGATGCACAGTAAGAAGTGTCTTTACCCCATCCCTGCCCTAAGCTTTAATCATAACGTGCTCTCCATTTATTGTGTGTTCGCTCTTCATTCAAATCATTATTTTTAATGATTCCACCAGCTCAAGGTGTTTTGTTCTGGAGTCTAGGACCAGATTTTTAAAATCTTGACTCAGCCATGAGGGCCTGTGTCTAAATTAATATTCTGGATGCAACCAGATAGAGAGAACCAGCTGCACTTCACCTCTTCTAACACTTGTTCTTGTATTTGAAACATGCCCTGGAAGGTCTTGCTTCTCTACTAGGATTCTACTCTGAGTGTGTTTTCTATTACTAACTTCTGGAGGGGTTTGGGGTCACATCTTTGGGTCACACTGACTGGACCACCATCTTTTCTTCTCTCCCTTTGGTTTAGTGTTTTCTTTTCAGAAAATGAAGGAAAGAGGGAACTGAAAAAAGAAGGGGACGCTAGAAAGGTCTGGTTGTGCAATATGTGTATTTGTTTAATCCATTAAAAAGTCTCTCATGGCCCAAAGACCACACAGAGATATTTTCAAACACAAAGATCACTTATGAGTTGAGAAGCAGGAGGTGATCCAAAGGAAGACTTGGAGTGAAGGGATTGGAATACTCGATTTTCTCAGCTGTACGAATTCAGAGGTAGGGTCTGGCTAGACTTCAACAAGATGCCATTCAGGCAAGTTATGTTAAGTATATGTAACAAGTCCTTTTGTCCTCTTTACTGGGTCATTTAAGAACCTTGAGAATCCAATTTTTAAAGGTGGGGTTATTTTGCAACTTCATAATTGGAGGAAATGTTTAAAAATATTGCAGAACACCCCTGTGAAGCATCCCCAGAGCCGGCTCTTGTGTTAACATTCAGATAGAAGCCTTGCAATGTATCTCGACCTTGCTAGTTAATAGGAAATAAGGTGCATGCTGTTTTCATAATCAGAAGAGACTCTGAACATCCTAAACCCCTGTAAGGACATGGAGAAAATTGAGACATCATGTGACATTCTTAAGGACAAGACATTTTGGAGGGCATTCATCATAAGGTGGAGATGGTGGCACATCACAACAACAAATGTTACATAGGCTGCTAATGTAGATTTTGGGCAAAATACGGTTCACACCACTAGCCCTCCACGGGGGGTTCGTGATGCTCAGCTGGGTGCATCCTTGTCCAAAATTGGTCACCCTTGCTGGGTCAGACCCTTTTCTCTCTCTCCTTATGGTTCTTTCTTTCTTTTTCCTTATCTCTCTCCCCTTAAGCCCTACGCTCCACCAGAATGTGGACCTCCAACGATTCTCTGAAACTGAATTTGGCCTCTGGGCTGAAAAGGGTTTTCCAATCCTGTCCTACAATCCATTTATACAAGTCAGGATATTACCCTGTGGCTGGGTTTAGCCAGTCAAATCAGTCATTCTACAGAGCCAGGGTGGTGTAGAGGTTAAGACTGCAGGACTAGAACACATGAGATTTGAGTCAGATTTTTTCATTGAAGGAGGGACCCCTTGGAACTGCTCCACATTTGTAGGGCTGCCCCAAAACTTTAGCTGTCTGAGGTGAAAAACCCGATGGAGTCCCTTCCCTTTCCATGTAGAGATGCTGGCTGGACTGTCAGTTGAATAGTTTTTCAATACAGGCAATTGGGCTGTGCCCTCCCTCACACCTGAAGGAATCAGGCTAGCTTAGAGGTCACCAGGAAGTCCACAGAGCCTCAACTCTCTCCTCCAATGGCTGATTGCCCCCTCCCAGCATCTGCCACCTGAAAAGAGTGCCTGACTCTGCCTAATAATAGGGCCGGCCTTGGCAATTGGCATTAGGCAATAATACCACCATGCCTTATGCCTGGTTGGACCATAAGGAAAGCTGAGTGCTGAAGAACTGAGGTCTTTGAACTGTGGCGCTGGAGGAGACTCCTGAAAGTCCCTTGGATTGCAGAGAGATCAAACGAGTCAATCTTAAAGGAGATCAACCCTGACTGCTCTTTAGAAGGCCAGATCCTGAAGATGAAACTCGAATACTTTGGCCACCTAATGAGAAGGAAGGACTCCCTGGAGAAGAGCCTAATGCTGGGAATGATTGCAGGCAAAAGGAGAAGGGGGCGGCAGAGGGGGCAGTAGCTGGATGGAGTCACTGGGGCAGTGGGTGTGGGATTGGGTGGACTCCAAGGGATGGTGGAGGACAGGAGAACCTGGAGGAACATTGTCCGTGGGGTCATGATGGGTCGGGCACGACTTTGGGACTAACAACAACAACCTTATGCCCTGTCGAACAACCTTGCTATATGTCTTTTGTTGACACACAAGTAGCCAAGTAGCTAAGCAAAAAGGGGTCTCAAGGGTATGCATGTGCTTCACAGAGTGTCCCAGTTTTTCTAAATTCTCTTGGCCTGTTGCAGTCAACAGACTTGGGAGGCAAGCAATACCTTAAGCTAAAGGGAATCACTGTTTGCTTCAGTTTGGATTAGTGAGCCGTGCAATTCTTGATTATCTGTGCATTGCCTAATTTGCATCTCTTGTGACCTAATTGCTGTAATTCACTGTCCTCCTGACTGGCATCTAATTAATCCGTCATTCTCTCTGATACTCACCCCCATCTTTTCTTTGTTTTATCCAGATGAATACAGTAGTCAATTAGCTCAGCAGAGAAGAGGCATGACAAATATCTTCCACCATGTTCTGCAAGCATTCTTCTTGTAGGGTTTGTTGGTTTGTTTGTTTTTATGGGGGGTGTTTAAAAGTGGAGCCTCCGCCCACCTTCTGAAGTGCCCCAGTTCACTCTACATTCTGGTATGTTTGTAGCCAAGAGCTTACCCTTAGTGGCCATGCCTGCATCCATCCCCCATGCTTACTTTCCCCTTTTCTTCACATTTCTCTCTCACCCTCCTTTCTCCCCAGATGCAATTTCCATATCAAGGGTCCTTCCTAAATTCTCATGTGTATCGCTTGCTCTCTTTTCTTCTGATGAGCGGGTATCTGATGCCTGCTCATGTCTCTCCCAAGAGGAGAAAAGGAAGCAGTGTGGTTGTGCAGCAGTAGCTTATGGAACTGTCTTGTGTAAGAAGCATGAGCTTCCTTAAGACAAAGCATGAGCTGGCCAAGTATTTTTACACTGCAAAGGAAGTGCAGCATCCATGATCAGCTTGGGGCTTGTCGGACTCTGCAAGAAAATGCATGAATAGTGGAGCCCCCGGGGCTGCCTGCTTTTCCCAGGTGTGTGGGGCTGGGCAAAAAGTTCTAGTCCCTTTGAGTGGAGAGGAGCAAGGGCACTGCTACCAGAGTTTGTATTAAAGGATGACAAAAAGCATATCTTTTTATTTGAGGATTTATTTGAACTTCTTGCAAGCCCACAGGTAGGGCGGCTGGAATTCAATGGCACAATACCTCCATATGTAGAAGTTCCAGTTTTGCTCAGGCTTCTGGTTGTCTGGACCTTTAGTCCAGCCAGAGGTGGGGAACTTGTGGCCCTCAGGGTGTTGTTGCCCTGCAACTCCCATCATCCCCAGCTCACATGGCCCATAGTCAGGGATTACTGCAGTTGCAGTCTAACAGGTTCCTCAGTCCTGCAGTGATTCCAGAACAGGCTTTCGTCACACCATAGCCCCACCTCAATCAGTTTCAGACCTCATCTTTTGCTCGTGTTTGTTTTGCCCTCCACTTCTTAGCACACACTTCAAGGCGGAAAGAGGGCACAGGAGCTGGGTGATTTCACCCCTTAGTGCTGACGCCTCTGTCTGGAAGCCCTCCTGGTCGAGATGATGTCTCTGGAAGGCCTGCTGGTCTGAACACCATCAGCCAGGAACAAATCTGTCTTTCAGTAGATGGCTTCATCTGAACCCACTGCCGATTTTTTCATGAATTTGTGTCTGGGTTGGAGGTGGGGGCAGCTCGTGGAGCGAACTGCTACCTTGGTTGCAGACTTTGCTTCCCAGTTTTCTTAATCTTACTCCAAGCCTCCTAAGCACACCTTTCGTTGCTCTCTGGCAAGCAGCCCATGCTTACTTCGTCTGCAGCTTTATCTCTCTAAGCATCCTTTCTATACTCTAGAGAAAAGGTTGGGCTATCTAGTACAAACACCTGAAGCACCCTTCCCCAACCAGGTACTAATTCCCATGTTGTCTGGGAATGATGGGAGTTGTAGTCCAACACATCTGGAAGGCTGAGGAAGACTTCCTTTGAGGATTCCCTATGACAC